GAGCGCAAATTGCGGGAAACGGAACTCAAATAGGCACAAAAAAGTGCTAAGTATCTGATTAGAGAAAAGCAGCAGAAAAAGCAGTCCGAAATGTTATAGAGAAAGATAACATAGTGGCTACTAGCTAGTAGCTAGCAGCCGGTGAGGGTCGGCATGGGCCTAAGGGGTGTCCATGGGCCTAATTAGTCAGCTTCTAGCGGAGTTCTTGCTGTTTTTCACATTTTGAAAGTAGCGCAGCCTCAAAAATCGCCTTCCGGATCGTCCGACACATTTGAGAGATCGTAGCCTTATTTTATCGCGGAATGTGCCTTTTAGGCTGAGCCCGCTCCCCAAGAAAATGGTTAATGAAGGCTCAATATAATACGTGATCGGCAGTAGTGAAGAAAAAAGCAGAAAGAATCGTGGAAATGCTCTATATATAGATACCGGTGAGTGCTGGCCCAGCCTGGCGGAGGGCGACCGACTCTTCACTAGCGAACGGCGCCATCCTCTCCCCTTTCTGAGATGCAAAACTAGTACATATTGCATCCTCATGGGGAGAGGTATGATATCCAGAGAGGGGGCGAGAACATCACATATGAAGTGGGCACTGTCCTTTAATGGATTTATATCTGGATGGCTTGAAGCGAAGGCATGATACCTTCTATACTCATGTGAATAACACTTAGGGAGGCAGTCTGTCATACCTGCACATCAAAATGAGGCACCATTCTTTTGCAGCGACTTTAGGGAGGTGAACTCAAAGTTGTGCACTGTTTTATTTATGTCCACCGTAAAACATTTCTGTGCGGTACTACTCTTACAAAAGGTCCAGAGAGGTACAGAGATCCCAAAAGGACAGGCATGTGATAACATTCCTGCGCTAATGCCGCGATGGACAGCTAAGAACTTTTTTTATCAAGTGAAAGGCAAACACGATAAGGCTTTCCCGATGACAACAGAATTTGCTTATCATGTGCTTTACATATAAGCAAGCTTCCGCTAGGAATGCAACACTCCTAGCCGAGCTGGCTGTGTCTGTGTCGGAGGTGACGTCAGAGCATATACATCACATTACGACAAAGGAAGTGCAACTTCACCGTTATGTTGAAGCATAGCAGTAAAGGGATCATACGAGCGATTGAAGAGCGGAATAAATCCAGCCAAAATGAGTACGGCAAGTTTGTTTTTTTTTTTTTTTTTCGGTGCGGGTGTCTGTACTGTGATGAGTACGGCATTCAGTGTCTGTACTTGATCAGGAAGTAGAAGTACATTTGAAGAGAGGCGGCAGTCCATTTGAATACCTCAAAGGTAGCTCTTTTAGCGGAAGCTATAAAGGAGTTTGTTCACTCAAGAACAAGTCTCACCCTGAATTAGCCAGATCGAGCCTTGCTGGTCGTAGAGCGCCCAGAACATCGGCACGGGCAAGAACATGATAAGTACTCGCAGAAGTGATTTAATGTCATCGATGAAAGACTTCTGAAACCGCCATTTTTCGAATGCTAATATTTTTGCTGCTCTAGAGATTCTGTTAGTTTTGATAATTCGAAATTTCGTTCGGAAGCAAACAATCCCGAAAGGAACAATCTATCATGTCCTCCCGCCTCCATCGAATTCTTCCAACGGCGCCTACCTCCACTTTTTCCTAAAGCGGGTCCGAGCACTCCAGGTGTTCCTCATGGAACTCGATGTCATTCAATCATTTCGTGTACAGCTTCCATAAAGAACTCTATCCACCGAGCTGACGGTCATTCTGGTATGCACTTGGCGTAATCCGAAATACAGTCGGAAGTAATCCTTCTGATCCAGCGGTCTCACAAAGTCGCGTGACCTGTCCAGCTTACATGATCCGAGATTCTTCTGCAAATCCGAATCGGAAAATCCCTGCAAGATGCGCCCTCCTCGAGTTGAGCGGAGACTGAGGACTGATTTCGTCCCCGATTAGAAATTTGGATGTTAAGCTCGTCGTCGAGCACCTTCGAGTAGCTGAGCATACGCGCCGGTTGCCAGTGCCAGTACGTGCGTAAGCACTGTGTTCTTTCCTGTTCGGTCAAGTTTAGCACTTAGTCTTGATGGTCGGCAGCTGGCGGTCGGTCAGTTTTCACGGTGTGACGCATTGACGGCACCGAAGATCAATGGCTGACGTTCACCCTGAGGCAGTCTGAGCACCAGCCATAAGCAGGCTAATGCCGATGAGCCGTCCGACGGTAGTCTGAGTGCTGGTCCCTGTCAGGACATTGACGATCTTATGGAGCCATAAAAAGTACCGCCAGCGGGATGAAGGCAAAGCCAAACAAAACCCAGGTCTATTGCGTAGTCAGCTGGGGCACGACGATGTGACAGCGGTAGCCGGGGTTAACTACCGAGCGTGCCTGTTCGCGCAACAGCGCAATTTCCATTGGCATGGGTGCTACACTCCTTGGACTACGAGCCTGCCCAGCCGGTCCTGTTCTCAGGGAGTCGTGCAGTGTTCTCCAAGAGAATCACGATCAACCGTCACGATGATAGACGAGTCCTATGGGTTTCCGATTATGTAAGGCAGCGTTCAGACTTCAGCGCCTCGGTCGCGCGTTCGGCGCGATCGATGCGCATGCTTTCAACTGCATCGATCGCGTCGGAGCACGACCGAAGCGCTGCCGTCGCGAGTCTGAACGCTGCCTAAGTACGCCCTTTCATAAAAGGAAGAGCATGTCAAAATTAAGGAACATTTTAGTGATTTGTGAAAAAAATCAACTCACTTTCTGACAACCATTCTTGTTCCCAACCTCCAATCGATAATCGAGACACCTGGAGTTGAGCATTATGTAGTGTACAAAGCAACATGTCATTAAGGCAAAAATTGAACTTTTACTTCGGATCACTTTCGCAAACATGTGTGTCCATGTAGTTGTCCAACCAGTGCTCTTTTTTGGTTTTTGAATGAAATTTGTTGGCAATCGCTCGCTTAAACATAATTTTATGTAACTTGTTACTCCACTGTAACTGCTTCTGTAACTGCTCATGCAAGACGATCATTCATGAAAAATATGGGAAAGTCTCATTCACTTACTGCCATAACCCGTGAGACCTCCGCAAAGATGTTTTCCTTTGGCGGGGGTTTCTTGTACCAAAATGATCCAGCCATGAACAGACCTGGCAATTGTAGTCAGATTAGTGATCATGATTGATACAGCATCAGAACCAGAAAATTGAAGCAGTAAAATATGAATTGTAAATTTTAGTTACGATTAAACGATACGCACCGTAATATTTTTGCACACAGCTTCATATTAGTATGGCTAGAAAGACCTGCGACACTTACACTCCTTATCCCTGAAACGGAGTAAGCGTGGGGCTCAAACGTGGCATCGGAAGGTAACTCGTGGGATACTTCAATATGAGACCACTGTCATTCTGTTCTGTGCTGGACAAAGAAAGGATTACAACTGCCCCAAAACGAAAATATCCCACGAAAAGCCTAGCCGTTGCCACGTTCAATTCAAGTACGTAGCCACGCCTACCGCATCACACGGATTTAGAGTGTATAAGTGTTCATCTTTTGGGCTCGTTCCCTTTTCTGCTCCTTCAAAGCTTCGGAGACAGCTCCAGGAAAAAGAGGTCGAATTCGTTCTTGACACAAGGTTGGTTACTAAACCTTTTGTTCTCTAGATGACGCATTCAGCCTGAGTGAAATGCTTCCAAAGCTGCTACGTCTGGCGAGCTAGGAGCAGCAGCGCTTCCTCCCTGCGATCTATGATCTTTCAAAGGGTCTTTTTGATGTCACTGTCATCTGCGATCTTACGTTGTCGTGGAAAAAAAGTTATTTTATATTTTGTAGCATATTTCACTCATGACGTCGGCCACCTTCCAAAGTAAACGAGAGGAGGCTGTGACCACTATCACTGAGTAAACCTTCTACATTTCCATAAACAGCACAGTAACACTTCTCTCCGTCCAGATTTGCTGACAGTTCTGCGAGCGATTTTTCGCCTTAGGGGCTTTTGTGGAGTTTACAAGCATCATGTCTGTAAGATAGCCAGTTCTCGTTGCTAACACTCTGTTAGCCAAGAATGTTCAATCGTGAACGGAAAAGAAGGAACTCGGATAGCATCGCTGCGGTCGCCTCATCGAAATGATTGTGGCATTGTCGCTGAGGTCTTTGAACCACCCCCTTCACAATTTCATTGAAAAAAAAATTTAAAATATAAAAAAGAATAAGAAAAATAAAAAAGAAAAAAGATAATGAAGGGAAAGATACGATGGAAAATCGAACAAAAATCAAACTACTATATAATAGCCAGGTAGTTGTCCACGATAATAGCAAGAAATGCAGAGGCAATATGATATTTCTGGACAACTGATTGTGAGGGATGTTATACAAAACTCACATGTTGCCAGAATCATCAGAATTGCTGGAATACCAAAAGCCAATGGATAGCACGAATCCTGACCAAGGCATGGTTGAGCTGAATCATGCCAAGATATACGAAATCTAGTGTTTCACATTAATCCAACTTGCGAATGAGACTATATCAGAAAAAGAACTGTGTTACATTTTACACTCAGAATGTACCAAAGCAGAGAACTTGATATCGTGGGGAGAAAGTGGAATGGTCACAATTCCTGCTAGCACTGACAAGGAACGATAGGGACAGGGCTCTGCGTAGCTAAGGCAGCATTCAAGCTTCGCGAAATGCGCGTTACAGCACGTCGTCGCGCTGTAGCGCGCTGCACAGCTACAATTACAAGAGCGCTCCTTTTTTACAACACCCTATTTACTTTCCTTTTTTTCGTTGTTTTCCATTTCTGCTACACTTTAGGTCTCCCTTTTTGACTTTGAGTTCGATCCTGGAGTATGTTGCAGTTGGCTGCGTGACGATGATATTATATACTGTTTTTGACGTCCTGTTGACGGCCCAGCATTGAGCCAAACGTGTTTCCTCAAAATATGTAGCGCGGAAATACTGGGAGTTTCGGCAGTATTTTAAGTGATATATCCGAAAGAATCGGTTTACTGCCATTGTCTTGAGGATGCATCAAGATAAAATCAATCAGAATAGGGAAGCTTCAAAAGAAATAGAAGTTTTAAGTCAAGAGCAAAACGTAAACTATTAAAGGAAAGCAACTGGTGCACTGTAAGATCGCGGCGCGCTTGTAATTGTGCACAGCGCGACGACGCGCTGTAGCGCGCCCCGTCCCGAAGTCTGAATGCTGCTAGTGGGCGACACTTGCTCTTCTGGTTCAGACGATACTGGGCACGGGAACCGACATCGAGCTTTTTATTCACAGTTTTTTCCTCCGGAAACTGAACGAGCGGAGAGTTGCCGATCAAAGCAAAAAACTGTGTAGAATCCTGAATCCTCAGTTTCCCGACTACATTTGTGCGGTGATTTGGCAGTTGGACGTGTTTTCTGTGCCATACTAAATTGTGAACATAAAGTTATCACCCTATTTTCTGACAACGCTTTTCAATACAGCAGCAGCTTTTCAGACTTTTTTGCGTATTATAATCTTCTTATAGTCTTAATCAACTATTATCCAAAAAAGGTCGCTCACATAGATAAGAACAAATAAGGTTACAGAAAAGGAAAGCCAGAGACCACTGAAGCGCCTTCCAGCCGGAGAAGATATTTCCATCCTATAGCAGAAATCGCATGCGTGTTTCTATTGTTTGAACGGTCTTGCACACGGCGACAGCGACAGGGAGCAGATACGGTTTGGATTGGCTGGCTCCATGCGGACTTCGCCACCGAGGGGGGGGGGCGGAGTTACTGTTTGCGTAAGATTTGCGTGGCAACATAGGCTTTTGTGTTACAATGACTACTAGAGCGCCTTACATTCGAGCAACAAGACAGGTACTCTTCTCAGCGAAGGAAAGGAATTCAGATGAATTTGTGGAGATGATATACTTCGCAGAAACATCTCATAAGTAACAGTGGGGTGTCTAGCAAGGGTGAATAGGCACTGTGCAGATTCGGGAGGGAAACGCCGCGTATTTGCTGGTTTCTTAGAGGCAATTCCCGCGACCACAGCTCATAGGTAATACAGTTCAAAAATAGAACTGCCGTGTGTTTGTTGACTTATTGAAGGAGAAGGAAGCACGAAAAAGCGCCCGGAATAAGACCCTCTTTATTGCAATTGATCATGATCACCGGACGAGCGTAAGGTGGTCAAGATCAATTGTGAATTGCGAAAGGCGGCGATACACTGATAAGAGACGAGAGAGGCCAGAAAACGACGGGCGAGAGAGCGCAATGGCCGTCTCACAACCTATCGGCCTATCCGGCGCCAATGGGCCTAAAACCTGAGCGCGCTGCGTTTTGCTTGCTGTTTTTCAACTTTTAAAAGCGGTATAGCCTCTGACGTTGCCTGCTTGACCATCGTGCACGGTTATGAGAACCTAGCCTTAGTTTATCGCGGAACGTGCCTCTAAGTTAGTTCCTGTTAATTGACAGGTTCCAGTTTGGTCAGACCTGCAAATTCTTGTGAAGCTGCGGAATGGTACTAGTGAGTTACTTTGGTTACAGTAATTCATAGCCCTTCGCAACTGGGTACGCTATACTACAGGAATCCCCAGCAGGGGTCGTATTTGATCGCTCGAGAAAGGGTGCCTACTTGCCTTTGACGAGAATATTCTTGATTGTTGACTTTTCTCTGTTTTCCTGTTGACTATACCTGTGCGCTCAATAGCCTCCCCCTCTTTTCCCTCCACATCACTACTCCCCTCACTGACAAAGAACGGAAGAGGGGAGCCCTCCTACAGAAGCTGGTCTGTACCTGTGCAAGCTTCGCTAGTCGCCGTTTGGTTCTCTCCACCAGGACGAACTGAGCCGGCTAGATATTCTTGAACCTAGTTTCTTGTATGAGCTGACTCACATCGAAAGATAGGCGATATGAATGTGGAAATCATCGAGCCAGCATTGATTGAGAAGTAAAACATGGAAAAGAATAATGATAGCATCCGTTCCTGCAATTACCAGATGAGAAGTCGAGAGCTGATCTAAATAGTCTGTGGAGCAGATTCATGCTTTGCCTCATACCTGGCCAACTTCAAACTGATCACCACCGAACGCTGAGACGCATGGCTTGATACCACCTGTTCCGAAACCAATGATGACCAATCCTGCCAAGTCCATCCATCTGAAGACTCAATACGTAACATTTGATGCCCCAATCGTGGGGGAAAGTGTTTTCGTAGAAGCAAATAGTTTTGTAGAAACCGAAAAGCACATCACGAATCACGAGTCAGCTTTGGAGTCGTAAACCTTGCCGAAAAACCACATCAGTACCAATTCTTTAACTTTCACCTCTTGATTTTTGCCCAGTTGCTTGCGATAACAGCAAAACGACATAAAAACTCACGGATGAATGCTTGATTCTTCATTCTTGACGGAAGCAACAGCCAGGATTACTTGCCCACACGCATAAAGAATTGAAACCGAGAAAATCGTCCTGAAATCGTAGCAATGTTTCGCAGAGTTCAAATGAACAGCTCGGGCACAATTCCACTTCTATCCTTCAGCCTTCATACCAGTGTAGGACCCTAAAGACAAACCCCGCGATTGTACGCTGGGCGCTCAGTTACAAACCTTTAGTCGTTGAATATGAAGAACACTTTAAGTCAAGACCTGACAACCCCTCCGAGCGAGTTCTTCGGACCTGCTCGTTTTATGCCAGCAAAGCGATATTCTGCCACTTCTAGCTCAATAATCGTTTCTGCGCGTCATTCAATATTAATACCGTCTGATAACGGAAAGACGGAAAACGTGGTGTCAAAGCTGGACTTGTGACAGGAAATAACCTTTGAGTTTCTGTGGAAGGGGCAACCGAGGAGGCGTCAGAAATGCAGGTTATGAGGGCCACAGCGCCTTCGTCACTTACTGTGAAGCCGCAAAAGTGGAACAGTCTTAGAGACTGAGGGCAAGACTACTTGTACAAGGAAGGACGCCTACGAGTCGCTCGAGCCCGGGGGTTTTAACCAGTTCAATCATTGGTTACTCATTATGGGTGCACCGTTACAGATACAGATACTGTTTCCCTATCAACAACAGGAGACACTCGTCTAGAAGACATCAACACGATCTTCGAAATCTTTTCACCAGGCGTGGCAAGGTGGTACGATGCATGTTAGAGGAGTCGATCAACCGCTGAAATCAGTGAAATCAGTGTGGAGAAAGTCAGAAATCGCCTTTGGCCGGTGGAAGGAGGAATGCTGTAGGTCAGACCCAGTCAGGACTGAAGAACATTCAAATGAAAGACTGTTGATTTATAAAAGGTATAAACAAGCTTGAAGCATTGGGTAGCATCGGCCTGTACGGCAGGCACATCATCGTTGGTTCTCCACTAGGGGGAACTTGTATTTATTCGTTGAGCTGGGGGGGAGGGGTCGTAATGGCAGGGGCGATCAACACCAGAAAGCGCAAAGGTGTCAATAGCACTACAAAAAATCAATGGTCAACCTATAGTATTACTAAGCTGATATGAGTTCGTAAGTACGTAGATGACTGACGTGAACAACTTGATCCGCTGCGTACCGCGGCGTCTTTCCGCTGCTGCCGCGTATGCCGGAGGCATATTTCGCAATCTCCGCGGCGTGCTACGCATGGCGCAGCACGCCCTCCTCTATACGCCCTCCCTTTCATCTTACCCAGCACACAGCACATGTCAAATGGAAAAAACCGCGAAAACTCGAAACGGGATTCTCTGAAAGGCAAAATCGACCCCCCCGCCCCGTATAGGCGATCCGTGAGACCAAGAAAATCAACTATGAGTAAATTTCCTCCAAACGGAATACATCCACTTCCCCCCCCCCCGCCGACAAATGCGACCCCCGCGCTGGGGATTCCCCAGCGTGCGACGTAATCTGATGGCAGTATAATGCCATGCAGGAGTGAGAGAGCATAGGAAAATATTAAGTTGACCCGGTTAAAGGGACGATGTTCAAGTTGTCCGTAGACCAACTCAACAAGTGCGGCATGTGCTTCAGTGCCAAGGTCGCGCAGCGAACAACATGAACGGCATGCTGTCTGCCACGGTCAAACATAGGAGTGACGAACACTCCCTGACCGCACGAAAGAGGTGCAGACAAGAAGCGCGATTGACTCCCTGGCTAGGCATCTAGCCAGTAGGATAGCGTGTCACATACTGCCAGCTTTGTCTGCGGGGTTCCAAATTAGCTATTACCACCCTCAAGCTTACTTTCCGCGCACTGTCGAATGGCGAAAGAGGCGTGGTCCTACAGCCGTTCACCTCGGGCACGACAAAGACCAGGATCTATAGCATTCCCTCAAAGGATCATTGACAGTTTACAGATTTATCCGAGAATTAATTTATGGTGAAGAAATGTACTGGAGAAAAAACGGTACCGAATACACTCACCAAAATTTTCCGATATAGCCATCAGCAATAATTGATCCGAGTAACGGCGTGAGGTAGCACAGCACGGTGAAACTATTGAAGAAAATGGTCGACTGGTTCTCCGTGAACTTCAGCACATTTAATAAATAGAGGATAAGTACAGCTGAAATTTTTACCGTATTTTGGCGAGTCCATAATCGCTTCGTTAGTTTTTTTTGTTTGTATTTTTTCATTGCACCGATTGCTTTCATTTTCTTGACAGTGCACTATAAAATCGCGAACGCAATCACGGTGCCACGCTTCATTGATAGCGCTTATCAGAAAGGTAAGCATAGAAGCGCATTAATCAAGGCTATTGTGTTGGGATTCAGATGTTCGATGAGAAAGCCAGGAGGATCAGCATGCTGGTCCTCAGCTTTTTTTGGCCTGCTATTCATCATCGGCGTATGAGGGATCGGCGAAAACGTGGCGAGAACCACGTTCTCGGGTTGTCGTTTTATAAGAAGAGTTCCAGTGACTTTCTAAAGTTTCTTCCACGTCTAAATCTCGCAGAGTATACTGGTAATGTCAGCTTAGGTGATCCATGCACCTATCAAGATACACTGAGAACGTTTCTACGTCACAGTTATAGCACAATCGCCCTTTGCAGCAAAAGTGTACCCTAAAGTCCGCTAGATAAGGTCGCTATCAGATAAGTCCAAGAGACGTCACGGTCGCTGCGCACACTGGAT